GCCAGCACAGAAGCCTTCCAGCAACTGGCATAACAGGTACGCCTTAACCCTCTTCACCACCTGCTCAGACCCTTAAAAGAGATGGTAATTTCGGAGTATTTAAATACACCAAAGATCAACACCTCCCAAGAGCACTAGAGCAAGTGAGGGGTCATTTAGACGTTAATTTCATCAAGTCCCTGTTAATATGGGAAGACACAGTGTCTATGCTTAAGGCACAACTCTCCTAAACACGAGAGTGAAGTATACAACTTTAGAACACTTTCCCACCAGGAGACTCGAACCCTAGCCAGCACAGAAGCCTTCCAGCAACTGGCATAACAGGTACGCCTTAACCCTCTTCACCACCTGCTCAGACCCTTAAAAGAGATGGTAATTTCGGAGTATTTAAATACACCAAAGATCAACACCTCCCAAGAGCACTAGAGCAAGTGAGGGGTCATTTAGACGTTAATTTCATCAAGTCCCTGTTAATATGGGAAGACACAGTGTCTATGCTTAAGGCACAACTCTCCTAAACACGAGAGTGAAGTATACAACTTTAGAACACTTTCCCACCAGGAGACTCGAACCCTAGCCAGCACAGAAGCCTTCCAGCAACTGGCATAACAGGTACGCCTTAACCCTCTTCACCACCTGCTCAGACCCTTAAAAGAGATGGTAATTTCGGAGTATTTAAATACACCAAAGATCAACACCTCCCAAGAGCACTAGAGCAAGTGAGGGGTCATTTAGACGTTAATTTCATCAAGTCCCTGTTAATATGGGAAGACACAGTGTCTATGCTTAAGGCACAACTCTCCTAAACACGAGAGTGAAGTATACAACTTTAGAACACTTTCCCACCAGGAGACTCGAACCCTAGCCAGCACAGAAGCCTTCCAGCAACTGGCATAACAGGTACGCCTTAACCCTCTTCACCACCTGCTCAGACCCTTAAAAGAGATGGTAATTTCGGAGTATTTAAATACACCAAAGATCAACACCTCCCAAGAGCACTAGAGCAAGTGAGGGGTCATTTAGACGTTAATTTCATCAAGTCCCTGTTAATATGGGAAGACACAGTGTCTATGCTTAAGGCACAACTCTCCTAAACACGAGAGTGAAGTATACAACTTTAGAACACTTTCCCACCAGGAGACTCGAACCCTAGCCAGCACAGAAGCCTTCCAGGTGGGAAAGTGTTCTAAAGTTGTATACTTCACTCTCGTGTTTAGGAGAGTTGTGCCTTAAGCATAGACACTGTGTCTTCCCATATTAACAGGGACTTGATGAAATTAACGTCT